CTATTAGGTATTGAACACATGAATGAACGAATGGATGAAGCTTATCTGTGCCACTTGAGGGACAGATAATTCTTAGTCATCTCTGTAATCCCCACTATACTCCATATAGGCAGTAGGTGCCTTGCACACAGTGCGTGCTCCATAAATGTGGGTGGCATGAAGGAAGGAAACCACAGGGATGTATTTTATTTCCTACTGGGAGGAGACATGGGGAAAATAAGTTAAATTTGATCCAGATTTAACAAAAAAATATATATATATCAAACCAAAAAACTGACCACTCCTAAGTTCTACTGAGCAGTGCATGAATTTTTGCTGGGCTTACATCACTGCTTTGGATCCGTCCATCTTCCTAAAGTATAAAGTTCAAATCCATGTTTAAGGCCCAACAATTACTCAGAGCATTGTACGTGTGGGTTTCTGTGTTAAAACAGCTCTTCCTCTCTTCTCCTCACCTCTCCTGTCCCTCCCTCCCTCCCTCCTTCCTTCCTTCCTTCCTTCCTTCCTTCCTTCCTTCCTTCCTTCCTTTTTCTTCTATCCAGGGAATTTTTAAAGGTTCCCCTCAAAGAAATCTCACCTTGATGGGATGTCCAGTACCTAACAGAGGAAAATAGTTAAGGGCTTGGAGAATCATGTCCACTTGGCTTTTTCTTCAGTCTCACACCCTGAGTGACACCTGAGCTGCCATCAGGAGCCTAGGGTTGCCAGATGTCGATGTAATAGAAATATGGGACATGCAGTGACGTTTGTGTCGGCAGTCCTACTGAGACCCCGAGGGCTAGGTCCAGCCTCATGGGGTGAAACCTGGACAGTCATAGGGGCCTCACACTCAGAAGGGCCTGTGCTGGGGTTTAACACTCTGCTCTCAGCATCTTGAAATTCTTCATAATTTTTGAGCAAGGGGCCCTACATTTTCACTTGGCACTGGTCTCCAAATGACATAGCCGGTCATGCCTAGGGCATGATTTGGGGCCCCAATGCCATAAGTACTGCCACTTTGAGTGGCTCCATCACCCTACGTGGTGCAAGCCTGAGTGCAGCCCCACTTCCTGGCTTGTCCTTGTTACATAATGGATGATGTCTGGTGGCTTTTCCGTAGACACTGTGTTTTCTATTCTAATTGGCTCTCAGTATTTCTGTCTTGGCAGCAGACACCACTTGTTAGACTTTTTCATCCAAGTTTCACTGTACCTGGCATCAATCAGTCAAATACTTAGTATGTAGAAATGCTAGTTGCTTCATAGGTGCCTTGAAAAGCCATTTAACCTAAAAAAATAATAATAACTTTCATTGATGTTATATAATCAGTGTTGCCTGATGCATATGATATTCATTATAAATGCATGTTTATGATGTCATTATTCTGCACAATTGCTTAGGCTCATAGTTTCCAAATGTTGGTTGTAGATTAGCGTGATTCCTCCTACAGATGGGATCTTTTTTAAAAGGCAAGCACATGGCTGTTCTGACTACCCAGTCCCTAGAGTTCCCTTAAGAAAGGGGCTCCTGAGCAGGTGCACTGGGGATTAATCAAGTATATAGAAAAAAATAAAGAGTATTCTTATTTAGAACCAGAGAACTGTGTAAATAACCACAGAAACAACACGACCACAAAAACAGTCACCTAGAAAGAACATCACAAGTTGTCTTAAGAAAATCTTGTGTGAGTATTCAAAACACCAGACTTAGATAAGGATTTAATCACTTGTATTGCAAAAAGATAATATTTCTTTCACTTTACAAAATGATCTACTACTGGGTTCATTTTCAAATGAAACCTCTATTACAAGTAAAATTGTATTGAATTTCCTGATTTGGGTAATCACTATTGCTGTGTAAGATATCACTCTGGGGGGAATCTGGGTGATGACTAGGAAAACCTCTCTGTACTATTTTAGGTTTTCAACTTTTTGTGGGTCTATAATTATTTTAAAATAGCAAGTTAAAAAATTGATATATGTATATGTACACACACACACACACGTGTATTTAGGAGCACATCTATGAGTGAAAACAAGCACATTTTTGTCTCATGCCCAGTCAAGATTGTGACTGATTTCTTTGTCTCTCTCTGGTCATTTATCAAATAAAGTATTAGGTTTAGAGACTGTAATGCCCAAACCCCATGGTAGCTGATAGCTTCAATCATTTAATCTTTTACCAAGGGAGTATCAACAGCAGGAAATAAACTCACTTTTAAAATGATATTTTCTTGTCTTATGACCTAGAAAAGGAGGAAAGATGCCAAGAGCAAGGAACAAAAAGGAAAGAAAAGGGAGCAAAGATCCAGAATGACTAATCTGCCAGAGCCCCATTTGTCTGTCTTTTCTCTTAAGTTTAACGCCTGAACTGGATTATTATATCATTCTAATTTTAATTCTAGTTAGAGTGAATTTTTTTTTCTGATTTAAGTCGCTTAAATCAGAAAGGTGGAAGTAGTGACAAAAGCTAAAGGAATTGTTAAGGAATTGAACAGATTGGATAAAATATTAAAAATAGGAAGGGGATTTATTTATTTATTCGTTCATTCAAGAAAGACTCCTCTGCTCTCAACTCTGTGTCGTCCATTGTCTGATGGCATAAGGATGAGCAAACTGACCTCCGGGTGCTTACCTTCCAGACAGTAGAAAGACAAGAAACCAGGAGACAAGTTGCTTTGCTCTGGATCATCAGGCAGCAATAAATACTATGGAGAAATATAGAGAAAGGTAAAGATATGGAAGAGTGGAAATCAGAGGAAGGAATTTTTAATACTTGGAATGATGTTGCTCTTGTAACAAGAGGGAGATGGAGTTAAAACCATCATAAAAGTAATGGATTCTCAAAAACAAACAGTGTAAATCTTAATCCTAGTGATGTGTCAGTGAAGCTTGATTGCTATATAATTTTAATTTTAATTCTAGTTAAAATTAATCTCCCCCCGTTGCTGGGAGTGTTTTGATTTTTACACTTATTTCGTATAGCAGCAGGCTTAAAAATGTTCACATCCTTTGACCCATAATACTGTACTGTCATTCTTTTTTTTTTTTTTTTAAGATTTTATTTATTTATTTGAGAGAGAGAACAGAGGAGGGGAGAGGTAGAGGGAGAGGGAGAAGCAGGCTCCCTGCGAGCACAGAGACCAATGTGGGGCTCAATCCCACAGCCCCGAGATCATGACCTGAGCAGAAATCAAGAGTCAGATGCTTAACCGACTGAGCCACCAAGGCGCCCCTGTACTGTGATTCTTAGACATACTAGACCTAATGCCCTCTTTTTTATAAAAAATATTTTGTAATACCACCTTTTCTATCCTGAAATGAAATCATGGATAATATAACTTATCTAGAGATATAATTTCAAGAATTCAAAACAATACTTCAAAGAAACAAAAGGAATTTATAATAAACATAACAATATAGAGGACAATGCCTTTATCTATACATGGGATTACCATGGCAGCCTTCTAGCAGACTGAAGTCCTGGGTTAGGAACCTGTCATAACTGGGAACATCACACCAGCTTGCATGTCACTGGTCTAGAGCAAGTCCTATGGCCTTCTCTAATTTTAGGGGGCAGGGGAGCTTAAGCCTTCCATAGGCTCAGATGGGAAGAACCTGAAAGCTTTGGTGTAACTGAGTTAGGCTCTGGGCTATCAGTTGGCTGTATGGGTTTGAGTACGTGGATTTGGGCAGGACACTGGATGTGGCACAGTCCTCTGCAGGTTGAGACTGTCCCATGAATTGCATGACTGGCTCTTCCCAGCACTGCCAATAAAGTTCCCCTAGGCAAATATGCCTTGACAAGTTTCCAAGATCCCTCTTATAGGCAGGGTGGCCCTTTATAAGGATCTTTGCATCAGTTGGGTTCATGAGATTTATTCTTAGGTAATAACCAAAAAAAAAAAAAAAAAGAGGTGGGGGGACAATGAATGCTATTTGTCTGAATATATTGATATCAAAGTAATTAATGACAGTATAAAATTGGAAACAAGCTAAATATCTAAGTGAATGGGAATGTCTCATTAGCTATGATGGTTCTAAACAAAAATATTATACAGCCATTAAACAGATAACTAGAATGAGAGACAGCAATGTGAGCCAAAAATGTCATTTAAGATATACTGTTGATTGAAAGTATATATAACATTTTATGTAATCTCTATAAAAACATCAATGTTTCTGAAACAAAGAAGGAAATATTCTAAAGTTAGTTTTGTATGTGACTGAATCAACTATTTATTACTATGTAACAAACCACCCCAAAATGGAGTAACTTAAAACAACACACAATTGTTAGCTCATGGGTGTGCGGGTCAGCAGTTTGGACTGAGCTCATAGGGGGTCATCCCTCTGCTGGCCAAGCCTGGGCCCACTCGTACCATGGCAGTCAGCTAGAGGCTTGGCAGGCAGGTTGGTCCAAGGTGGTCTCACTGACATGTCTAGCACTTGCTGCCAACTGTCAACTGGGCCTCTGTCTGTAGCAGGCTAGACATGCACATCTTTTTTAAACAAAACCAGAAAAGCATGCAGTAATTTAGGGCCAAATTATAACTCTAAAGCTGCCGACGAGAAGACTGATGGAGCTTGTTGTATGTGTACAATTTAATACTGTTCCCCAAAGGCCTAATCAACCATAGAATATTAGAAGCAAAAAGGAAAACAGACCATCCATCTACCTGGTTCAGGGAAGGCAAGTAGGTTTTATTTGGAGTGTCAGCTAGAATACTGGGTCCCAGGACTGGCCTTAGAGGCTGATGTCTCAGGTGGGAGAGAGTGAGCAGTAAGTAGTTAGCTGGTTAGTCGAGTTGGCCATGGGGGAGGGATTGGCAGTGGTAGTGGAAGAACTTCACATTTGCCACGGCAAACAGAGGCCTCCGGAAGGATGGGGTATATATTTGATTCCTTCCAAGGACTTTGCTAGAAGCAACTAGACCTTATCTGGCTACAGCATTTCAAGACACTCTAGTACTTTTTTACATTCTTGACAAAGGGCTGACGAATGATAACCTCTCTGCACAGGTTGTGGTGCGGGAACTGCTGGCTCAATACACCAAAGAGCATAAAGAGAAGCCACTTTTCAGCTGGCTCCGAAACTGCGCTGAATCTGGGAGTGACAAGCTGAGAACCAGGTACGTCATTGCTTAGGCTGGCACCATCCTTGGCCCTCAGTGTCTTATTACTGGGCCTGAGCACATGGAGCCTTGTCATGGCACAACTCACTCTTGCTGAAATTTTAAATATTCCATATATACAAAAAGTACATGATTTATGTAGCGTTGGTGCTCATGCCCCCACGCCCCCAACTGGAGAACCAGAACATTGCTAATTCTGTTCTTATTCTACTCCTGTCCCTTCTTCATTGTGTGTCGCCTATTCCAAACACTTCAGAGATTTTAATTCCCAAAGCCCCATGAGGTAGGTTATTATTTCCATTTCACAGATGAGGAGACTGAGGCATAGAGGTTAAGTATTTTGCCCAAGGTTATGCCCTAGTAAGTGGCAGAGCTAGGATTTGATCCCAGGCAGTTTGGCTTCAGGATCCATGCTTGTGCTTGCTTTTATTGATTTTTTAGTATTGTCTTTAGGCTTGATAAATAAGGGGTAATGTATGTGGTATGCTGTAGCTTCCTGCTGTCACTGTTTTGTTTCTAAGATTCATCTAAGTTGTGATATGTGTAGATGAAGAACTGTTCTCTTTGTTCATAATATTTCATCGTGTGTATATGCCCCAATTTACTTACCCATTCTAATCTCCAATATCAGTGGACATTTGGGTTGTGTTTTTGATATTTGGCACAGAGCTCTTATGAAAAATCTTGTACATTCTCTGGGGAATATGTCTAAGAGTTTCTACAGGGCCTTCAACTTTAGTTGCTGTGACTCAGAATAAGAAATAAATTTTACATCAACCACTGACACCCACATCCATAGAGCCCTCCCCTCCACACACACCCAGCAGACACCACTGAAGCAAACATCTCACGAAACAATGCTTAGCCTATTACTCGTGATGGTCTCTGATAGTTTTCAATTGTTTTTTTTTTTTTTAAAATACTGATCTCAATCCTTTAAACTGATTTTATGACCCATTAGTGATTTGCAGTGTGTGGCTGTTGTATATATTACCTAGGAGTGAGATTTTGGTGTTGTGGGGTATGCCAATGTTCAACTTCACTAGATAGTAACAAATTATCTCTCGAAGTCACTGTACAAATTTATACCTTCACCAGCAGCGTGTGTCCTGTGGAACCGGTATCCTCACCAACACATGGTTTTATCGGTCTTAATTTTGTCAGTACTGTATATGTATGTATATACATATATATAAAGATCTCTCGCTGTGACTTTAAATTGCATTTGCCTTATTACTGTTAAAGTTGAAAATGCTTTCACAAGTTTATTTGCCACTTATATTTCCTCTCATTTGAAATGCCTGTCCATGTGTTGTGCCAATTTTTCTTTTTCTTTTTTTTTTATTCGTACTGATTTGTAGGCTTTTTTTTTTTTTCTATCCTTTGTTGTTATAGATGTTACAGCCTACCTTCTACAAGTCTGTGCCTTGTCTTATATTTTCTTTATGGTGCCTTTTAACATAAATTCTTAAATTACAGTGGAATTTACAATCTTTTATACTCCACACTTACTGTATCTTGTCTACAAGATAAATATATAAAATATATATTATATATATATACTTTATATATAAAAAATATATTTTTTTAAAGTTTTAGAGTTTCACCTTTCACATTTAGTTCTTGAATCCATTAGAAATTTTTGTCTGTAGTGTGAGGAAGGATCAAATTTCATTTTTTTTTTCTCCCTAGGGATTGTCAGCTGTTCCAGCACCATTTACTGAATAGACTGTCCTTTACTAGTGATCTGTAGTGCTTGCCCTGGCACTCACATTACTTTCTATTTTGGGGTTACTTTGTTCCTAGTCAGTTTGTGTATCCTAATCCAACAATACACTGTTGCAATTACACTAGGTTTATAATTATTATATTATATTATATCTAAAATGTAATTCAGAGTTGTGTTGGCTATTCTGGGTCTTTTGCACTTCCATATAAGTTTTGGAATCAGTTTGTTAAGTTTCTTAAAAAAAAAAAAAAAGGCCCTGCAGACACAAAAGGAAAATATTCTATGACTGTGGTTTTATTGAGGTATCTAGGGTAGTCAAATTCATAGAGACAGGAAGTAGAAAATGGTTACCAGGGGGTGGGAGGAGGAGAGAAGGGAGTGTTATTATTTAGTGGGGACAGCATTTCAGGTTAGGAAGATGAAAACGTTCTGGAGATGGATGGTGGTGATGGTTGTACAACAGTATGAATGTGCTTAATGCCATTGAACTGTACTCTTAAAAATGGTTAAAATGGTAGATTTTATGTTATATATATTTTACCACAATTTTTAAAAATTGTAATTTTCTTTGAAAGTGTATTAAAGCTATAGATTTGCAGAAAAATTGACATATATATACATATATATAAAACTGATGCTTGTGTCAAAGATTTTAATCTAAGTGTTTTCTAGAAATCTAGAATTTTCTCTATACATAATATATCCTTTGATAGATTTATTTCTAGGTACTTTATGATTTTGTTGTAAAAGGAATGCTTTTAAAAAATTATGTTTCTGTTGTTGCCCGTTTATTATAAATATAGTTCACTTTTGTATATAAACCTCACCATAAAAAATAATTTCTTCTGTGTCTATAGATTCTTTGAGTGTTTTTTCCATACACAATCATACCATCTGCAAATGATGACTTTTTATTTCTTTCTTTCCACTTGCTATTCCCTTTTATTCTTTTTCATGTAGAAGGTATTCTTTTGTCTTATTCCTGGTTTTAAAAAGAATTAGCTTAACATTTCACTACTAAGAATGATGTTTGCAAAAAAAAAAAAGAAAGAATGATGTTTCCTGAAGTTTTTGATGGACACACGTTAACTTCCTAAAGAAGCTCCACTTGTTATTTTAAACATATTTTTGTCATTACTAGGTGATGAATTTTACTGCAAATGATTTTTTGCTTCTATTGAAATGTTGTATTTCTTCTTTAGTTTGTTCATGTGATAAATAACCCTCGTAAATCTTTTAACGTTAAACTACTCTTGCATGCTTGAGAAGCATTCAATTTTGCTATGCTGCATTGTCATTTTTCTATTTTCCTGAGTTTGGCTTGCTAGTGTTGTTTTTAGGGTTTTTGTTTACTTATTGGCCTGCTGTTTTCCTTTCTTGTAGTTCCCTGATTTCAATTTATATCAAGTTTTACTGGTTTCACAAAGCTATTTTGGGAGTAGTTTCTTATCTTGTGGGAGAATTTGATAAGTTATCTGAAAACTATCTGGGCCTGGGGAAATATTTAAACTACTGATTCAATTGCACTTGACCCTTGAACAACACGGGTTTGAACGGCACAGGGCCACTTACATATGGACTCCCTTCAATAAACACAGTACAATACTGTAAATGTATTTTCTCTCCCTTATGATTTTCTTAATAACACGCTCTTTTCTGTAGCTTATGCTACTATAAGAATACAATATATAATACATACAACATACAAAATATGTGTTGACTGTTTTTGTTATTGATAAAGCTTCCCGTCAAGAGTAGGCTATTTGTAGTTGAATTTTGGGGAAGTCAAAAGTTATATGCAGATTTTTTATTGCACGGGAGTCAGCCCCCTCCCCCCAATGTTCAGGAGTCAACTGTAGTTTAATTGTTTTAAGACCATTTAGGCGTTCTCTTCTTGTGTCGGTTTTCATAAATATTTTCTAGGAATTGATTATTTGGATTTGAATTTATTGGTATAAGGTTTTTCATACTATGCTCTGATTATCTTTTAAACTTCTGCTAGATCTGTAGTTATGTCCCATTTGTCATTCCTAAATTTATTTCTTGCACTTTCTCTCTTCTTTATTATTGCTTAATCTTACTGGATGTTTGTCTGGTTTTTTGTTTGTTTTTTTAAACAACCAGCTTTCCTCTTTGTTGATCCTCTCTATGGTATCTTTGTTTTTTACTTCACTGATTTATGCTCATAAATATGTTGTTTCCTTTATTCTATTTTAAGGAGTTTATTGAGGCTTTTAAACTTTTGTGTATTTTTAAAATTGTTATTTTATTTGGAGGCAGATTATTGGTCTCCATAAGCAAAATGTGTTGAACTAATTTCCAAGGAAATATTAGAAAATGTCATCTTACAATCTTGATTAAAAACATGGGAAACACAATAAATAATAGTGTGTGGAACTTTTCATATCTGTTGGCATAAAATAAAATTAGGAAATCTGTAGTCCTTTTTTCTTTTTTTTCTTTTTTTACTACTGCCCAGGTTCCTGTTTATTTAAACTGTAGTCATCTTTTTTTTTTTTTTTAGAGGCAGGGAGGGGCAGAGGCAGAGGGAGAGAGAGAATCTTAGCAGGCTCCATGCCCAGCACTTAGCCTGATGTGGGGCTCGATCTCACAACCTTGAGATCAGGACCTGAGCCAAAATCAAGAGTCAGATGCTTGCTTAACTGACTGAGCCACCCAGGCGCCCCCAACTACAGTCTATCTTAAAGCTTGAAAACATCAACTCCCATATTCTAGAACCGTTTCAATTAAGTCTCTATTAGTTGTGATGTCTCAATTTGTCCTTGCACACTCTACAAAGTCAGTACATCTTTTTAATATGTCTAGCCCCGAATGAGCATTGTGTAGTACTGTTAGCTTTCCCTCCAATTTATTACTTTGAAAAATTTCCAACATATAAGGAGTTGAAAGAACAGTACAATTCCCATCAGAATCAGTTCCATCCATTCAGGAAACTTGTTCCCAAACTGGCAGCAAATCATCTGCCCTTTCATTTCTTTTCCAGATAGCAGAGCAGGGCTTGCTTCCATCATTTTGAAAGCAAAACAGACCCTCACCCATATGCAAATCTACATTCCTAGCAAATTTTCCGGGATAGACTTGAGATGTGCCAAAGGCAGTATTCCAATTGTAAATATTTGGAAAGTTCAGTCCATTTTTTTTTGTCTCTGTTATTAACCTCCAAAACAGTACACATCTCTCTCCCACACATCCAGGTTTTACTGATTCAGTCTGTCTGTGTTTGTCTACTTAAGTCCCAAAACCTTGCTCTGATTTTTATGTATATTGAGAAAAACCTTTTCATCCAACATGTTTCCAGTGTATGGGGCACTTCTCTAGGCACTGGTGACACAGCAGTCACTGTGGGTTCAGAGGCCCATGGAGCTTCTAGTCAAGTAGAGCAGTCGGATGGCAGTCATACTGACCACTCATGAGAGGACCCATGAGCAAGCGGGGGCATGAAGAAAGATGGGCTGAGAACTTCCTGGTGCCCTGAAATGCCTCCAAGTAGGCTGTCATTTGTGTAGACACCCAGAAACTACCCCTTCATGTGGACTATGGGAGGAATTGGTGATGGTACTGAGAAGTCTTCACGAGACTAGGGGAGGGAGGCAGGGCTTGGCTCTGAGCGGGGCCGTACCTGGTTCTGCAAAGAGCTCCATATATCTTTCCTTTCTTGTTCTGATGAGTGCTGCTCTCCCCCTCAACCACAGGGCTGCCACTGGAGCTCTGGCTGCTCTCATCAACCCATGGATCCTTAGGAGACTGTGGGAGTTGAGGAACGTGAAGATTCCGCATTATACTTGAATGTTTTGCCATAGTATATTATGAACATTTTCAAGTATTGAGCTAAATTAAAGGAATTTTAGTGAACATTTATACACCCACCATCTAGATTCTACTATTAACCTGTTACTGTGCTTGTTACATCACATATATATCCATGCATCAATTCCTCAACACACCCATCAATTCATCTTTTTTTCTCTGATGCATTTCAAAGTAAACAGCGGACATCAGCCTACTTCTAAATAATTCAGCATGAACATCATTAACTAGAGTTCAAAATTTGGTTATAGGTTTTTTCTTCTTATGTAGAATTTACATACGATGAAATGCATAACTCTTAAGTGTGCATTCACTGAATTTTAACAAGTGTGTGCACATGTATAACCGAAACTCTTGTTGAGTTATAGATCATCAGTCACTCCAGAAAGTTCTATTATGTCCCTTTTCAGTCAGTTCCTGCGACCACCACCGCAGATGCAGTCACTAATCTGATACTTTTCTACCACAGATTAGTTTTTCCTGTTTTAGAATGTTATATAAGTGGAACTGTACGTATGTACTGTTTTGTAGCTGGCTTATTAACATGGCATAATGCTTTCTGAGATTCATTCATGTTGTCACGTGCATTAGCTTGTTCCTTTTTATTGCTGAGTAGTAGTCTATTTTATGGATATACTAGGATTTGCTTTCCATTTTCTTATGGATAGAGAGACACCTGGAATGTTTTCAATGTTTCACTCTTCCAAGTAGATCTACTGTGAATATTCATATACAAGCCTTTTTGTGAATATATGTTTTTATTTCTCTAAGGTGAATAGTTAGAGTAGAATTGTTGGGTGATAGGGTATTTGTTTTTTTTAGCTTTATGAGAAACTATGAGAACTTTTTCCAAAGTGGTTTTGCCATTCTACACCTCATCCACAAGTATGAGAATTCTGGTTGCTCTGTATCCTTGTCAACATTTGATGATGTCAGTATATTTAATTTTAGTCATTTTGGTGGGTATATAATACTGCCTCATTGTGGTTTTCATTTACATTTCTTTGATGACTAATGATGTGCATTTGAATTTAATTTAAATTTAGAGTCATTTTGACCTTCTTGTAAAATACAAGGAGGTTGCCTTTAGCGATATTCCTACTTTTAAGAGAATCTGCACAGTCTTCTATGCTGGGTGAGTTCCTAAAGCTACGTGATGTGGCCATGCTTGGCATGTGACTCATGATAGGGTGGGTGGATGAGATCCACTTCGTGTAGCACACGAAGTTCACAACCTCAGGTGGACAGTATTCTACAGTAAACATTCCAAAAAAGATAGTTTCTAATAACAAAATTCACAGCCTCCAGGTTTCCTAGTAACAGTCTCTGGAATGACTGAAACATACTTTTCAATAAAATATGACAGTTCTTTACACTTTGTGTTAAATAGACTAGGACAGAAGCTCAACCTTCTAAAGCTTCAGAATAAATACTGATATAATTTAAATTTCCTGGTACTTGGCATGTAAATGACCTCCCATCTTTCCTGTCTACATGGAGGGCAATTATTAATTCAGTGCTTGGCATTCTCAGAAGCATGGTATCAATTGCTTCTTAATGTTTCTCTTGTGGCTTCTGATTGAGCAACAACTGCTACTTGTGGATTTAATTTTAATTAATTAGCATCTAAGCTATTTGGGTTTTATGATAACTTACTTCCCAAGGATATGGGGCGAAGGGAGGGCAAAGGAGTGGCTAAGCTATGGGAAACCTGAAGTGTAAATTAACCCCTTTGCTGTCTATCTAAATGGAAGTTTCATGGGGCAGGGTGGGTGGGAGGGGTGCAAAATTAGCACAAAAGGCAGAGTCACATATTGAAAAACCCATAGGGTTTTAAGGGAGACTCAGGTGTTTTGAGTCTCTTTGGGCCTAAGTCTCTTAACTCCCCTATGCCTCAGTTTCCTCATTGCCAGATGGGGAAGATGGAATTTACTACCTGCTGAAGAGAGTCATTATCTCTGAAGAACACTCTACCCTGCGCTTGCCCACAGCCCTCTCATTGCCCTCTGGGGCTCCTTTTCCCTTAAATACAGGTGTCCCCAAGACAAAAGCTGAGCCTGAGCGTGTTCTGCCCATGTGACCTAGAGCAGGTTGCTGAAACTTGCTGAGCCCCAGTTTCCCAAACTATACATTGAATAATTATGGTATCTGCGTCATAGAATTACTGAGATTGTTGAATAAGGCACAGCAGTAATAAGCACAGGTCCAGATACATTATATATTTAAGAAATAATATTCATTGACAAATACTTTGTGATGGATGTATTTGGTTACTAATATTCATTTGTAATCATTATTATAACAAATGCCAAACAATGGTTGAGAAAATTATTATAAACCCAGTGGATGGAAATTATATAGATCTTAATGAAGAAAAACTATATAAAATATTGAATAACTACCTATAATACAATAGGAAATGAAAAAAGCAGGAAACCCAAATTATCTTTATACCACAAGGACAACCACATAGGATCAATTCAAGCCAAGCATTCATCAGAAAAATCCTGAAAGAAGCATGAATATAGCGAGTGAGAGATGTGAGGGAAGCATGAATATAGTGAGTGAGAGATGTGAAGGGCTGAATTGTACTTACACTGCTTTTCTATTGGAAGAAAATTCTTTTTGACAGAACAGGCCCTGTCTGTTTTTTTCACATGGAATTCTTTGGTGAGGACAAAATAATAATAATGGTCACTGTGTTTTTCCTTCAGCTTCCTGGCATTTAACATGGACACAGTCGATAATCTTGCCTTTCTGTTGAAAGCAGTGAATTTTCGTGAAAGGGTTCTTCAGCGGAGTTTGGTGGCCAGAATTTATTATAAGGTAAAGATACATTGTGTTTTTTCTTTTTGACATGTGTTTAAGGCATATTCTTGCTGGTGAACGATCTGCTAAATGTAGTAGAGGATGAGTCAGGGTAATTACAAGCTTCTGGAAATGGCTAGAGTTCCTACAGGGCATTTGTATGACAAGACAGCCCTGGTTGCTTTGCAGGCCTGATGCTACTGTTTAACCCTTTGTGTTGTCGTTTAGAATTCTGCCGGCAAGCCATCATTGGGCTGCCATGGGAATTGATGAGTGGAGTTATTTTTAGCCCTTATTGGAACTGAAAACTCATTATCTATGTGTATAATGAATACATTGTTCTTTGGGGGGAAAAGGTACATCAGGCATACACAAAAAATAACCATTCGATTAGCCTGAGATGCACTCTCTTTCCTATTAAAACACCCATGACATGCTGCAAAAACATAAAACCTTATATTAGCATTGATAGAAATCTAGAGGGAAGTTTACCAAGTGCCAGTGGGGCTGGTGTGGGAAAACATCCCCCACCTCGGCAATATGTTTCATTTTCTAATCTCAGTATGAATAGACAAAAAGACTCTGAGAGAAGGTTTTACTTATCCCACTCTCTGTCCAGACTCAGGGGTTCAGGGCTATTGTAACATGAAAGCAGGCCACTGCTCCCCTTCTGCATGGGAATTAGGTTGCAAGAGGCCCAGAATCGGGCCCCATGCAACTCCCCCCCTTTAATTCATCTCTTTTATACTGACTCTAAGATCACTCCTCCTAGTACAACCACAGAGCGAGTAGAAGGGAAGAGGATGAATAGCACATGAGGATGGGTATTCTCTTAGGAAATGCTCTGGGAGCAGAAAGTGGTCAAGGTGCACACTGGTGGGACAGAGCCAGACTGATGAGTACCTGGAGGCTGGGCCAGGGTTGTACCAATCAGTCCATCCTCAGGTATAAGTATGAGGTGAGGCCCTGCCAGACACCAGGGGCACATCCGAGTGGGTTTAGTCACTCTGAGCTACCTGCCCTTGTCAAACATGGAGCCAGTCAAAATAAGAGAAGGATGTAATCACAGGCAAAAATGCTAGAGATGCACTAGTGAGCAGAATTAACAATGGATAAAATGTAGTCTGTGAACTAGCTTTCCTAGACTGCGGAAGAAAAGGATAAAGATGAAATGGCAAGAGATGATGATAGACACAGAGTGAAAAGAGCAGAAATCCAACCTATGTGTAACAAATATTCCTGAAAATGCTGGAACAAGAGGAGCAGAAATAAAAATCGCAGACATAATAGAAAAATATTTTCCTTAGTATAAAAAGATCAAAATGTTGATAGAAAAAAATATCCATACTTGGCTATAGCCTGCAAATCTAGCATAAAGAGATTATCATATAAGCACCCAGACACAAAAGAATAGTTTACCGAAAAAATAAGGCTAGCCTCAGTCTTTATTCACCAACTCCAAATGGAGTAATATCTCCTTCTCTAAAGGGGAAACTTCATGATCCAAGCATACTATTCCAAGCCAAATTTAATTCATGAGTGTAGGTGGTGGAATGATATTTTCAGATACCTAAGAATCAGGAACGATTTTACTCATTTGGCCTTTCTTAAAAATTATTCAAAATTTAAAAATATAAGACATTTAAAAAAATCAAAATTATTAACTCAAACATAAGGAAGTCAAGGTATAAAAGGATTTGTGGTCCCCCTAAATCCAACCAGTAAGTATGTGTTTTTAAAAAATGGTTACAAAGTTCAGGGGCACCTGCGTGGCTCATTGGGTTAAGCATCTGACTCTTGATTTCGAGTCAGGTCATGATCTCAGGACCGTGAGATCCAGTCCAGTGTCAGGCTCTGGGCTCAATGGAGAGTCTGCTTAAGATTCTCTCTCCCTCTCCCTCTGCCCTTCCCCCCACTCATTTTCTCTCTCTCTCTCTTTCTCTCTCTCTCAAATAAATAAATAAATCTTTAAAAATAAAAAAATTATTATAAATGCTTTTTGGGAAAAAGATGAATTAAAAAAACTTGACTCATTGGTTCTATAATAGATTGGGTTTATAATATATTTTAAGGTAAGATAGAAGCTAGAGTAAAAACATGCTCAGTTTCTTACTTTAATTGCAGGGTAGGCAAAAGACATTGTTTTGTTCTGACTTGATCATTAAAGAAACAGGTTAAAATGCATTTCATTATGCTAAAAGTTAACAAGATTACCAAACACAGGATGCCTGTTATCTGAATCGCTGGAGAAGACACAGCAGAGATAAATAAGTTACCAGAAATTTGTGTAATCAGAGGCAGAGCAAGGAACAAATCAGAAAGCCTGTTCTTAGAGGCCTCAGAGATTCTCCAGTGCTGCTTCTTTAGATATGCCTACCTCATGGCTGGAGGGCTGTTTTAAGAGGGCTTCTTGGTTTGAGAATTTCTTTAGGATTGCTACCCAAAATCTGCGTCCTGCTCATTATGACATCCCCTTGGACTCTTGTCGAATCTGGCTAAGTACAAGTCCCCTCCCCCGGCCCTGAAAGATTAACAATTTGGTCTTCAACTGCACTAATCTGGTAATTCCTTGGAAACAACTTTTCCATTACAATATGATCCCTAACTTCAATCCACAATAAGCCATGGAGAGGTGTCTTCTGCTACATTTACATCTTAGACAGAAATCCCTCCAGCTTCCACCTCTAAAATGTAGAGCATTAGATTTAAAATGGCCTATAAAATAGAGTTTCAGTTCTCCTAATGAAATCATAGACTCTCAGTTTAGAAACAAATCTAGCCGTATGAATTTTATATAGAGAAAAATCTGTATATATATTGATATATAGTTATATAAATCAGAACAAAAATGACTTTTTTAGGGGCGCTTGGGTGGCTCAGTCATTAAGCGTCTGCCTTCAGCTCAGGTCATGATCCCAGGGTCCTGGGATCGAATCTGGCATCGGGCTCCCTGCTCAGCGGGAAGCCTGCTTCTCCCTCTCCCACTCCCCCTGCTTGTGTTCCCTCTCTTGCTGTCTCTCTATCTGTCAAATAAATAAATTTAAAAATCTTAAAAAAAGAAAAGAACAAAAATGATTTAAAAAAAAAAAACCACACAGATTGGGCAATAGCAAGATATTTTCAGATATCTTTCAGAGGATTGGGGTATTAGTCTGCTTGGGCTGCCACAACAAAATACCACAGATTGGTGGGCTTAAATGATAGGAATTTATTTCCTCATAGTTCTAGAGGCTACAAGTCCAAGACCAAAGTGTCAACAGGGTTGGTCTCCTCGGAGGTTTTCTCCATGGCTTGCAAATGGCTGCCCTCTTAATGTCTTTTCACATGGTTCTCCCTCTGTGCATGCCCTGCCTGGTGTCTCTTCCTCTTCTAAGGATACCAGTCAGACTGGATTAGGGTCCCACCCTAATGGCTTCCTTTCAATTTAGTCTCCTCTTTAAAGACTTTATCTCCCGAATATGATTACAATCTGAGGTGCGGGAGATTGGGACTTTCAAGTATGAATCTTGGAGTACACACAATTCACCTCATAACAGTTAGTGATATTGATCTTTAAAAAAAATTCAAAAGTATGAAACAGTACACAGCCAAATTGATGATACCATAACTGTGAACTTCTGTGTGCCAAATAACACATATCTGTGGTAGCCAGCTTCCAACAGAGCCCTCAGCAATCTTTACCTCCTGCTATTGTGAAGTCCTTTCCCATATTGTACCAGAATTGGTCTGTGCGACATACAGCGGAAGTGATAACATGTCCCCTCTGAGATGAGATGATTAAAAAAACATGGTGACTTCCATGTTGCTCACTCTTTCTCTCTTTCTTGGATTACCCATCATGTGGGAAACCTTGTCATAAGCATGCCCTATGGAGAGGCCCCTGAAGTAAGGAACTGAAGCCTCCTACAAACAACTACATGAGTGAGCCTGGAAGTGTACCCATCAGCTGGGGTCAGAGCCTCAGAGATTGCAAAACCTGGGCAGTGGATCGCTTGCCGACTTGCGGCCTGGAGCTACACTGAACCCCAACTGCCCTGCTAATAAGCAGCTTCTGCGTTCCTGACTGTCAGAAACTGTGTGAAAAATGAGTGTTTGCTTTAATCTGTTAAATCTGGGGGCAACGTGTTTACACAGTAAACTAACACAGATTTGGGCACCTCAAGCTAGGTGATGATGTAACAAAACTCAAACAAAAACTCAAAATGTGGGTGTGGCCTTGAAACTAGGTGGTGAGCTTTGAGAAGAATTTTAGCGGAAGCCTGAAATGCCTTGAAGAAATTGTTCATAGAAGACTTCTGAGCTTTGCTAAAGCTGTGGGTGAGGACTTGCAGGACTTGAGTAATTATTATTGGAAACTGGAGGAAGGGAGATTCTAGCTATGTAGGGGCAGAACTTTAGCAACACTCTTGCCTGCAGTTACATGGAAAGTAGAAAATGTACCTCATCAACTCAAAGTGTTGAAAGTGCCTGCTCGCTTATGGCTGCTTACGTAAAATGCCAAAAGACAGAGAGAAGCTGAAGGAAACTGTTTAACATGGAGGAACTGAAACTTGCTGTGGTTTTGAAGATTCCCAAGTTCTCCATATGGTAACTGTATCCATTTCTTGCGGCTGCTGTAACAAAGTACCACAGTGCTGGCTCTTGGCAACTGGTGTCCCTTGGCTTGCCTTCCCATCACTCCAATCTCTGCTTCTGTCACCACAAGGCATTCTTCAGTCTGTGTGTCTCTGTTTTCTTATCTTCCTGTGAGGAAACCATACTGGACTAAGGCTCACCCTACTCCAATATGAGCTCGTCTTAACTTGATTACACATGCAAAGACCCTATTTCCAAATAAGGTGGCATTCACAGATACTGGGGATTAGAGCTGCAATATATCTTTTTGGAAGACATAATCCTACCCAAAAGAACCATAGAAAATGGCTTCAGAGCAACGATACCAGAGCACTCTCAGGAATGCATGGTCTAAAGATGTGAGTAAAATCCTTTAAGAGCTGAGAAAGATCAAAGATGAGGCT